AAAAGTGACTTATGACCATTTTTCACACTTGCAATCGTTCCAGTATCCCTGTGGTCACCAGATCAAAATTCGAATGCTTGGCAACTGACTCATATTTATGATGGTTGTAGTGCCCAGTTGTGATCACCTTTTGAGACCTTTTGACAAGCAACATCAATAGGGAAGCCAGATTCACTTAACAACCGAGTTACTAACTTATCAACTGCATTGATTCACTTAGCAACTGTGGCAAGGAATGTTGTAAAATGGGTCAGAACAACACTAAACAACTCTCTTGCTTAGCAAAGGGAAATTATGGGCTTAATTATGAACGTAAGTTGAGGGCTTCCTGTACACTTCAGGAACACTTAAATGTGTCCATGTGTTCCTGTAGGTCTAAAAAAGGTTAGGATACAGGCCCCGAAAACCAAACGAAAGATATGAAATGGCAAACTATGGAAATCAGGAGAATTTTTTTATCAGTCTATATCAGAACAAAGGCGGAAGATAGTATACCGCTGGCACTTAATTCCAATAAGAATAGTGTATACCTCTCACAACTACTCAACAAAAAGTTGGAGGAGTTGTCAATACAGGTAGTCCTCACTTACAAGAGGTCATTTAGTGACATTCAAAGTTACAACAGCACTGAAAAAAGTGACTTATGACCGTTTTTCACAGTTTTTTTTTTTTTAATTTGATTTATATGCCGCCCTTCTCCGGAGACTCAGGGCGGCTTACAACGCGTTAAGCAATAGCCTTCATACTTTTGTATATTTATACAAAGTCAGCTTATTGCCCCCCACAAACTGGGTCCTCAATTTACCTACCTTAGAAAGAATGGAAGGCTGAGTCAACCTTGAGCCTGGCAAGATTCGAACTTGCAGTAATTGCAGGCATCTGGTCTTAATAACCAGCTTAATAACAGGGTGCCTTAGACCACTGTACTACAAAGGTTGTAACCAAAGTTACAACCTTTGCAGCATTTCCATGATCATGCGATCCAAATTCAGACGCTTGACAACTGACTCACATTTATGATGGTTGCGCGCTCCTGGGGGGGGTCATGTGATCATCTACAAACAAGCAAAGTGAATGCCAGATTCACTTAACAACTCTGTTACTAACTAACAACTGCAGGGATTCACTTAACAGTTGTGGCAAGAAAGGTCATAAAATGGGGCAACACTCACTTAACAAACGTCTCACTTAACAACAGAAATTCCAGGCTCAATTTTGGTCATAAGTCGAGGACTACCTGTATGGGGTGGATGTTTGAAGAAGTGTGCTGCTCTGCAAGTATCTACAAAAGTAAAACTCCTTTCTAATCAAAGAGCAGAATGCACCCCACTACTACCCATCTTCAAGGGAGTAATTGCTAAATTACATAATAAGGAACTTTTTATATTTTTACTTCTAGCGGCTAATTAATAATTGCTCAACAGTGGAAGTTCCTTGATGATTTAATGGCTGTGAAATGGCATACTAAATATAGTCAATTCTTGTTCTTAAAAAAAGTTACTGATAGAATATTAAGTACACAGAAGAATCAACTACATTTTTATTGGATCTGACATCTATATATATTGTAAATGTTATTAAAACAATGATTTTGATTTTGTGTGAATCCTGCAATTTATGGAAACCATGAATTAATTCTGATTTATACTTTTACAAAATGTACATTTTTTTCTAAATAGAAACAAATTCAGAAGCCATCTCGGGTAGGCTGATAACTGAATAGCTTAATTAAAGGTACAGAAAATTATTTTTTTAATACACATGCTCTCCTTAGCCCATCCCACTGAGGAAGGCTTACAAGTTTTGGATATACACAAAAGCCACAGGAAACCCAGAAACTAATTAAGTGGTTCACTTAGAAGCAGCCACTTTTGAGGATTTCAAAGATTTATGTCTGAATACTTTTAATCAGGTTATGTTATGGAAATTTTAGAATCTGATGGCTTTTACTCTGTTAGATGTTATTCTTGCTAGTGTGACTTTAAGAAGTAAATCACCTTTTCATTTTCCCTTGTTTTGGTCATGGCCATCTTGGACTTAGAAAAGGACAGTTGGTTCTTTATTCTTATTCTTCCTGCCTGTAAATTCTCCTCTCTGCTCTTTCATTTCCTTCCAAGGCATCTTCAGCATTGCTAAGTCTTTCCTCCATCAGTGAAAAGGTAAAAGCTTCTCGGATGAAGCTCAATGAGGATTAACTTCACCTGACTTCAGGTGTACATTGTTTGAAACTCTCCATGTTTATCCTCCGCTTTTCTTAAGCATCTATCTAAATAAGTCCTCTTAACTGCTCTTACAGATCCACCTCATAGCCAGTACATCGTGTACCATTATTGTATAATTTCTTCTTGTTTGTTTGCACTGTCCTATTGTCCTGAAGAAGTCCTGCGGATTTTACTCCACTAGCCGTACAGGGCGGTGCTCATGTCCATTTTAAGGCCATTGAACCAGCGGTGTCCAAAGACATTTCTACAGTCATGTAGCCAGCATGACATCACGGAGCGCTGTTACCTTCCCACCAAATATTTATTTATCAACTCACATTTGCATGCTTTCAAGCTGCTAGGTTGGCAGGACTGGAGCAAGGATGGGAATTCACCCCGTCGTACGGAGCTCAGGCCTCAAGCCTTTCCAGCCAACAAGCCCAGTGTCTTAACCGCTGAGCCATGTCCATTGTCTTGAAAGCTTACTTATATATAAGAAATGTATTTAAAGGTCCTGGAATGGAAGGGTGGCAAGATAGAGAGAAGCTATCTTTTGTCCTCCCTGGAAGGCTGTTAATTTTCTTATAGCTGCTTGGCCCACCTAGAAGAAGAGGGGACCAGCAGCAAAGGAGATGGACAGAGGCGATGGGGTATGATGGCTCAGTGATTAAAGATGCTGAGTTTGTCAGCTGGAAAGCTGACAGCCTGGGTTTGAGACCCAAGTGCCATGTGACAGGTTGAGCTCCAGTTCCTTGCTCCAGCTCCTGCCACCTAGCAGTTTGAAAGCATGCAAATGCAAGTAGATAAATAGGTACCACTTTGGTGGGACGGCAACAGCATTCTGTGTGCCTCAACATATAATTACACTGGCCACATGGCCATGGAAGCGTCTTCGGACAATGCTGGCTAAGAAATGGAGATGAGCACCGTCCCCTAGAGTTGAAATCAACTGGACGAGGGATCAATAATCAGTCTGAATGAATTCACAAAAATGAAATCCCTAGAGAGGCAAGGCAGCTTCTCATATTATGGCTTAGTATTCCTGTCTCACCTCATGTCTCCAGGTTCTCAGTTAAGGAAATATTTTCCAAGTTGATTCTTGAGAAATATTTTTTTCTACTCCAGAAAGCTCAGGGATCAAAATTCCAGATTTGGTGTGTTCACACTGAGCTATAAGGATTTCAGCTAGCTACCCACAATCGGCCACAATATTTATTAAAGCGCTGCCTCTAAACCAGGAGAAAATAACTGGCTAAGTAAATAAGAGCATTCGAATAATCAGTGCGAGACTATTTCAAAAAATCAGCAAGTCTCCTGGTTTTGTTTCCCTTCCTAACTATTAACTTGGAAGAATAGCTGTTTAGAAAAATCTGTTGGCTTATAAAGAGAACTTCTTAAATTCACAAAACAAGTCACATTTTGCATCTTATTCCCAACTGAGTTTTATTCCTAGCTTTGTTTAAATACCAGTGGACTGTATGTGCCTATTATTTCCTTTTCCTGTAATTTTCTGTATCCCTCTGAGAAACAGAATCCAGAATGAATACTTGTAGATCAAAAGTGCTAGGCACAGAGGAGACCCATTTGTACCCCTAGAATATGTGTGGTTTTAAGCCTGTTTTCCTAGAAACCATTGAAGCATATTTTTTTTAAAAAACGTAACAAAGCAGTAAAAAGTCATTTGAACAATAAATATTAGAATTTGTTGCAAATATTATTTTGCAGCCAATGGAAAATAGAACACTGATTGGATAAAAAAAACAGCAAAAAAAAAAAAAAAAGCCAAAACGGAAACAGATTTCTGCAACATTTCCAAGAAGAAAAGATTCCACAATTAAAAGATCTACTCAGAACATTTTAAATTGTATATTCCCTAATGGTAGAATTTGTCTCATGTCTTCTGTTTTCCATTATTACAGAAACTTAAAGCTGGCCATCCAAAATTTTGAAGTTCAAAATTTATAGTGAAATTGTAGAGAATGAGTTTTAATTTTTTGTAAAAGAAAATTAATATAAAATGCAAAAGTTGCATGTTTGGGGAAAACATCTCTCATTTATTTGATTTAATACAGAAATGTGGCAGAGCACGCTTTTAAATAAATGGATGCAAAACGGAAAATAGCCCAGTTTCTCCATTACATAAGAACATAAGAAAAATATAACGGAGGCGACCAAACATCCATTCATTTCATAACCTGATTTCTCACAGCGTCAGCCAGAAGGCAGTTCAGATCCTGAGTTTAGTAAATCATGATGCTTTTTTTCAAAGGCAGCTGATGCAAAGATAGACTGCATCTACACATAGAGGTTCATGTTTAGCTTTTGCACTTTCATCTCATTTGGGGATCTTGCCTTTCCCTTGAATTTATCTGATTTTTTTTCAAAAGCTGCTGGGTCATCCCCCGTTTTCTCTGATGTGATAACACCTCTACCACAACATTTATGATTTTGCCAAGTGTGAATCCAATCCAGGAAAAAGCTTCAGATGCCCTCAGCAGCTGGCGCACTGCACCCCTAGACCCTAGACATTAGTATTTGAACATAGATTCTTTTTAACATTCATATTTTACTGCATTTTTTTTTAATCTAGGGGAATTAGTAATATATATTGCAAGTCCATGTATGATATGCCATACACTCATTCACTCACTCACTCAATCAATCAATCAATCCAAAGGGGTGACCAAAATAATCCATTTGGCCTGGCCCCACCAACTCCGGGCCCAGACGCACCTGCTTATGATGAAGCCAGCTAGATGGAGCAAGGAGGGGAAAATGAGAAAAACGGATGCTACTCACCCTTACAAAGCTGGCTGGGAACCAGCCCTCTTCATCATCGATCTGTCCCCACCACCAGTCCTTGTTGGAGGCATCGAGCACCTTGATAACGTCTCCCGCTTTAAACGCCAACTCCCGGTTGGCCATGGTGACGTGATCCCATACTGCCTCGGCACTGACAATCGAACCGCCACTGATCAGCTTGAAAGACAAACACAAGGCACATCAGCCACATTCTCTTCTCCCGGGGAGAAAGCCACCTCCTCCCGCCACCCCTGTTCAGAGAGGATGAGGAAGCCATGCGCCTTGCACCTGGTGGGAAGGCCAGTCCCTTCCTTTTGAAAAAACATGGGAGTTTGGAGCACCTGGCCAGGGAAGTTCTGTACCCAAATGATGCCATGCAAGTCATTTCAGGGAAGATTTTCTTTTTATAGGATTTTCTCTGCTGGACTAAGGCAGGCCTCAATTAACAACCATTCATTACGTTCAAAATTACAATGCTTTGAAAAAAGCCAATCCTCAGACTTATAACCACTGCAATATCCCAGGATCAAAATTATGACCCCTGATAACCGGCATGCATTTACAATGGTTGCAACGTCCTGGAGGTCTTGTGATCAGCATCTGCAACCTTCCCTGTGAGCTTCTAACAAGCAAAGTCAATGGGGGAAGCTTTGCTTAAAAACTGCAGTGATTTGCTTAACAACGATGGCAAAAAAGATTGTAAAGTTGGGTGTGTAACAACTGCCCTGCTTGGAAAATGAGAAATCTGGCCCCAGTTGTGGTCATAAGTCAAGGACTGCCATTATAGGCTGAAAATGAAGACACATGCAAAAAGTCACATGTTCAGCATCTATCCTTACGTGGAAAAGTTCCCATTACTTATTTACAAGCTCTGTTCCCTTGTTCTCTGTCAGGCCTCTCAAGTGGAATTCCACAAGTACCATCCTCAGCAAGTTCTATCAGCCGTGACCCTAGAAGCTGCTGATGCTTTTATTGCTTTAAAAAAAAGGAGAAGAACCAAAGGCTAAAAAGAGGAGTTTAGGCAGGAGGACCTTAAAATGCAGAATTATTGCTGAAGCTTGCTAATGGAGGTTGTGTGTGGAGCAGTTCCTCTAAATAAAGCTGAGAAATCTGTGGTCAGATAGAAGCATTAATTTTCATTCCAGGATTATTTTGACTCTTTTCAGTTGCACACCTTCGTTAGTTAAAGACCATTGAGGTGGATGGACCAGGTAGAAGAAAGAGTTTTCTGTAAGATATACTGTTACAGGTCCTCCTTTCATACACTCACACCATCATGGATCTAGAGACACTGAAGGCACCATCAGGCTACCCAGTTCATGGACGGCTGTCTTGAGCTCTGACTTTGACCAGAACCTCCTTACCACACCCAATCACCTCCATTAAAATCTGGTGGCAAGGGGCAGAAAAACCCAGAAATTGACATCTTGGCTGTCCTAAAATGGAGGGAAATTTCAGAAAACGCAAAGGAAAAAACTAGACCTCTCTCCAGAAATCTAGGAAAACGTGGCTTGACCATATGTGGGTGAAGCCTTCACCTACTTTGCCTCATCTTATTCACTAGGTTTCCATCCTCCTGTAAGTATAACATCACTCATAAAGCAGAATTGGATCACTTTTCATCCAGCAACTGATTGCAATGTCCTTTTAAAGGGAAGATGCCATGTTAAACATGGGACTCCCACTAAGCTATGGTTCCACCAATTGACATGACGCCCAAGAGATCTGGATGCAGCTCCAGAGGTTCCTGGAGGAAATTGATGACCTTCACTCAGTCAGCTTTGAGAACAGGATTCAGTACAACGATAACAACCTTCACAAAGGCTTTAAAGATCTAGCTCTTCTAATAGGCACCAAGCCAGGAGAATCTTCTAAAATGTTTTTACACGATGTGATTGTTTTACTGCAGTTGTTTGACTGCTGTGATTTAAATGGTTGTTCTGTTTTGATCTTTTAACCCTCTGGTAAGCCACCCAAAAATCACTCAGGGAGTGAGAAGCCTTAAAACTGAATAAATAATAAGTGATAGGTGGGGAAGGATGCTGAACAGTAGAATGGAATGAGACTTGAATTGAAGCTAAATGAACGGAGCTTTGGGACAGTTCTTCAGGGTGAACCAGATTACAGTTTCCTTTAAGCTTTCCTTGTCAGTGTGGGAAATCATGGTGTGTGTGTGGGTGTCCCTGCATGCACAAGATATGGCTAATATCTAGAAAGAAACCCCCTAAGAGTGCAGAGAAGAGCAGTAAAGATGATTAGGGGACTGGAGGCTAAAACATATGAAGAATGCTTGCCGGAACTAGGTATGTCTACTCTAGTGAAAAGAAGGACTTTTCATCAGACTAGACATGATAGCAATGTTCCAATATTTGAAAGGCTGCCACAAAGAAGAGGGATCAACCTGTTCTCCAAAACACCTGAAGGCAGGACAAGAAGCAACATAAGGAAACTAATCAAGGAGAGAAGCAATCCGGAACTGAGGAGACATTTCTTGACAGAGAGAACAATTAATTAGTGGAACAGTTTGCCTGCAGAAGTCGTGTCTGCTCCATCATTGGAGGTTTTCAAAAAAGAGACTGGACAACCATTTATCTGCAATGTTAAAGGTGTCCTGTCTGAGCAGGGAGTTGGACTAGAAGACCTCCAAGATCCCTCCCAACTCTTTTATTCTGTTACTCTCTGACACCAGCCATGCTGGGTGAGACTTCTTGTTGCTCTCAAGCTCAGGCAACTCAACGCCTTCCAACCAGTCAAGACAAAAAAACCCTTCCATTTGACAAAAAAAAAATCCACTAATTTCCCCTGTTCCCTTCTGCCCCACTGTCCTTGGCAGTCCCACCTCCCTTTCTGCTTATCTCCCCCATTGCTATTCTGAGACCGCTCTACGGAGAAATTCAATTGCTTTGGCCTTTCAGAACGTATGGGTTATTTTTAATTATTATTTGAAATGATTACAGATTGACCTTCCCTTTTCATTTCCCCCCCTTCCCTCTGTGGCTTGGCAAGAGGCAGTGGTGAGAATAGGACAGAAAAGCAATAATTTAGCAGATATTTTGCCCTGGCGCTCGCTTGCTCTTTTTGCTTTGCAACTCTACCCTATCTTGCCTCCAGCTGCTAAGGGGAAAGCTTGAGTTGAGGAAGACATTTGTGCTTAATTACTCAACAGCTTTTTACATCTTAGGGGACAATGCAAAACAGTTATGTGGGCATCAAAGACAAGGCTCCTTCTACCCCAGTAGGGAAGAGATAATAGAATCTGGTTGAGAGGGATCCATTGGGACAATGCCCAGTGCAGAAATCCAAATTAAAAGCATCCCTGAAAGCAGATGACTGTCTAACCCAGTGTTGTTCAACCTTGGCAAGTTTTTGCAATAGCATTATTTCATACTCAGCAGTAACTGAATCCCCACACAATTCCTTCTCTTTCTTGGCTTTCAAAGTACCTGAGATATAGGGGCAGCCAACCTCATGTCCACTTTTATTCCATCCCAATCAAGATACTTGAAACTTCTTCCTCAGCAGGCACAAGCTTGTTCTACATCCATATTTCTCAACCTGGGCCCCTTGAAGATGTGTGGACTTCAATTCCCCAGCCCGCAATTATTGCTGGGGAATTCTGGGAGTTAAAGTCCACCAATCCAAGTTGCCAAGATTGAAAAACACTGGTCTAGCCTTAGCTTGAACACATCCAGGAAGGAAGGCCTGCAGTTTTGCTGGGTCATTACTTCCAATGTTGCTGTTCCTCAACATTTTTCCTAACATTAAACCCGACATTATTCCCCTGAAACATCAGGCCATTATACCACGTTATGCACTCCACAATGATAGATTGCTACCGAAGATCCTGATCTTCTCTGTGTCTGTGGTCTCCCTTTCTCCCCATTCTATTTAAAAATGCAGGAATCGAATACAAAGGTCTTGAGGGCAAAATGTATTTTTGTTAAATGAAAATGAATTTAATACTTTCCCCACATGTACTTGAAGCTGTCTTATACTGGCTGGAGTATATACTCAGCAAGTCGTTCTATTCCAAGGGCATGTTAGCTTTTCAGAATCATCCAAGTTGCTATTCAACAAGCCACAGTTTAGAAAGACAATCCCAGTCAAGCTTAACTCAATAAACAGTCCTGATGCTAAATGCTTTTCTCCCACAGATTATATTATGGTTGATTGATCACACAGTCAGACAGACGTTTAGACTAGATTTGGCATTTTTATCAACCTATCTAGTCCTTCCGAAGAACCTGGGATAGGCAGATGTTGATTGTTGCAGGATGTTTTCAATCTCTGTATATGTGTGATGGGTAAGCAGTTCTACAGCTGCTGGCCTTGGTTGCTTAGCCAACACTCCTGAGTCTTGTAGCCCATTTGTCACCATCCAGAAACTCCAACACCTAGTGTGGTCCTTGTTGACCAGGGTGACAACCGACCCAATATGGGTTTCTGCAATTTACATCTTCCCGTGTTGTCTATGGTCACAAAGTGGTGACACAGTAGTTAGAATGCAGTACTGCAGGCTAACTCACTGCTCACTCCAAGAGTTTGATCCTGACCGGCTCAAGGTTGACTCAGCCTTCCATCCTTCTGAGGTCAATAAAATGAGGACCCAGATTGTTGGGGGCAAAATGCTGACTCTGTAAACTGCTTAGAGAGGGCTGTAAAAGCACTATGAAGCGGTATATACATCCAAGTGCTATTGCTATTGCTATGGGACTCTTGGTCTGGCTCCTCTGGTAAGACCTGTCCAATATAGTTGAACCTCTGGCATCATCTTCCTTAGAGCACACAAATCTCACAACCACATCAAGATGGTGCCTCACCACCTTTATTATTTATTAAATGTCTATGCTGCCCATCTCATGGTTTGAGGCAACTCTGAGTGGTTTACAATCTAATAAAGAATATGGATATAAAAACAATTATAAATATAAAAAATATTAAAATTTAGATATTGAATCTTGGACCTTTGGAATGCAAAGGTAGTTTGGAATGCCAACCTTTTGTGTAAAAGCAATGGGATTAAGAACATCTGAAGACACCAAAAATTATTTTATTCTATGATTCTGTGTCCCACAACAGCCAACATGATGTATCCTGGAAGCTCAAGACAAAGGGTTACAGAATAGAATAGAGAATAACAGAGTTGGAAGGGACCTTGGAGGTCTTCTAATCCAAAC